GCCGCTGCGCCATTTATTCAGAATGCAAATAATATACAAAGCTGTGTTGAATAATTCCACATTGTTGTCTGCATACCTCTTGCTATACTCCTCTGCCCTAACATTTGGGTGCGTGTATTTTGTGTGCCTCTCTGACTTTGTAATGGACATTTCGACGGTTCGCAGATTCTAAAGTCGCAAACTATAATCTAAATTTTGTTCAATAATTAATTAATATCGTTCACTGTATTTATTCAAGATGAAAATGTAAATTTAATCGTTTCACTCTTTTTAATTATTAATTAAATCAAATGTAAAATAAATTAATAGAGAATTCAGTGAAATGTGGAAAACGTCATTCAAGCAGGGAATCTGAGCATGAGCTGCTCATGAGCAAGGTTGAGCAAAATTTTGCTCATGAGCAGCGTTGAGCAAGGGTATCTTGAGCATGAGCATTGAGCACATGCAAGTGAGCACCCTGCAAGTGAGCATGCTCATGAGCAAATGCGATTGAGCACCCTCCAAGGTGAGCATGCTCATGAGCAGACTAAGTTGAGCACCCGGAAAGTGAGCATGCTCATGAGCAGATGTAGTTGAGCACCCAAAAAGTGAGCATGCTCATGAGCAGACAAAGTTGAGCACCCAAAATTTGAGCATGCTCATGAGCAGAACTGTTTGCTCAATAATATCTTCATCTGCTCCTATGTATTTTCGTCGCTGCAATAAATAGGAGATCATAAATTCATAGTGAGACCAAGAAACTCCAGCGTAAGGCGCTTATGTATCGTCTCCAATACATTTTCCCCATACCCTTAAAAACTTCAGTGGCCTTCAGCCGCCGCACCGCTTGCCGCAGCCACCCTCTCCCGGCTTCCCCTCTAGTCCTCTACTAGTTCCGCTCAACCACCTTTATTATTATGTGCTCCTGGCATTCCTTCCTTTTCAATGGACCAAATAATCCAAGTATTTAGAGCCAATTACAAATTAATTACGTTGCGACTAGAAAAAGATAAAACATTCCCCATTTTACTTATTATACATTTGACTATTTAAAATTTTAATTTTCTCTATTTAATTTTGGATTTAAATACAACCTTTAAAATCATAATTAAAGTCAAATTAGATCAATCATTTAATAATTCGCTTATTATTTTATTGTTTTAATTTTATGATATTTTTGGTCTCCTCATATAAATTGAGCATGAGCAAGATTGAGCAAAATTTGCTCATGAGCAGCCTTGAGCAAAGGTCCATTGAGCAAGAGCATTGAGCACATGCAAGTGAGCACCCTGAAAGTGAGCATGCTCATGAGCAAATGCAATTGAGCACCCTCCGAGGTGAGCATGCTCATGAGCAGACTAAGTTGAGCACCCAAAAAGTGAGCATGCTCATGAGCAGACGTAGTTGAGCACCCGAAAAGTGAGCATGCTCATGAGCAGACAAAGTTGAGCACCCAAAAATTGAGCATGCTCATGAGCAAAACTAGTTGAGCAGACGAAAATGCTCATGCTCAGAAACCCTGCATTCAAGAAAAATCTTAGAAATTTTCCGTTGCTGGTTTATGTGTTAAAAAAATGAAAGACTCAAATTTCTGTTGCTAACATCATAGGTGGTTTTGACATGAGAATTATTTTTATTTAATCTACATCCTAATAAAAACGGAAATTCAGACAGAAACATTGAAAATTGGACCCAATATTTGTGTTTTGAGAGACAAGTTTATATTTTATTGAAGATACGTATATTATGTATGAATAAATGTTTAACAATACGTATGCGTGTTAAATGTTTATAGAATTGATTGTTTCTTTCTTATATTATTTTTAAAACAAATTTTATATGAAACCAATGTGCACTATGCGGCGAATAGGGTCATTTTGGAAGTTTTACCAAAATTCTTGCTGGTAGTGGTGCAATTTTTTTCTGAAACAAAATCCAATTAATTTTTTTTTTTAAATTAATAATGTTGATTATTTGTCCAAATTGCTACATCACATTGTTTGCATCCAATTGTTGAAAACAATTTATTCGAAAAAAAAAAAAAAATGAATTTTTGGACAAAACGGCAACTTAATTTTAAATTAATTTAACTTTTCAACAATTGATTGATAAAAAATATATTTTAATAATGTGGACAAATAAACGGCAATACTAATAACACGCTTTTCTCCAACTTGTAGTTAAATTGAACAAAATTAATTAGATTATGTGGATTCCCATAGTAAATGATCGCGGGGGCCGCGAGCCGGTTTCTCTGATTCCAATAAAACAAAACTGCGGGGTTGGCCGATCACCGAGCTGTAAAATGCGCGGCCGCACGCCTCTCTGATGCCTAATTTAGATTTTTCTGCGCGCGACACGCTCAACGAAATTTCCATAACTCGCTCAAATATCGTGTTTGTATGAAAAATAATTGCTCTATTTTGAATGCAAACAGCGGCGCGCTGATTAAATTTGCATGCATAACAACAATAACAAATGATGTTTTATGTAAATACGTTGTTCTTCCAATAACACAGCGAGAGAGAAAGCAGCCGGGGTCAATATAATTTTGAAATAAATTTATAAATCACGTGGGGATCATAAATATATGTTCGATGTTTCGCACGCGTATGACAAACATGGCTCTCGTTGCATCGCTCACTTTTCTGCTGCGGGCGTTTGTAAAATGAAACGACTGGTTTTTATCATGATTTGTTTGGATCGAAATTTATAATTAACATTAAAATCGGGAATGTTTGCATGCTTAAAAACACATTTCATTGGTGAAAAATAAAGTTATAATTCAAATAATGAAAATTTTCACTATTTAGTTGAAAAATGATATATTTCCTATCAAGACTTGTCAATTGAGGCTCTGTTTGAACATAATTATGCAATAATGCTTTCAACGTTAAGTAGATCATAAAACTATGTATACAACACCCCCATAATAAGTATTAAATAAATAATTAAACAAAACAAAATGATCTTGTTTTAAAATAATTAATGAAGCTCGTTTTTACAATTAAATTTCTAGTGTCTAACTATCTACGTATTTTATTTAGTTTGTCAAAATTCTCACTTATATTGTATTATTTAATTATGAATTATTAAATTTTTTAAATATTTAATTGCAGCATTTTGTGCATAATTATGCATGCCATTACTCTGCAATTTAATGTAATAATAATACGTATAATTAATGAGTTTCAATATTTTCAACTAGAAGTTTGTTTTATATAAACTTGAGAACAATTTTTATTAAAAAAGAGAAGATTTCAGCATGACTAAAATGACTTTAAGATATTATTTATTTCTTAATGCGTGGATTAAATAATTATCGTGAATTTTTATTTGAAATCAGTGCCATTTGAACATGGCTTAAAAAATAAAGACGTGAGAGAAAACGTGACTTTAGGTAATTCTTTTTTTCTTTCTTTCAAGGAACTGTCCAAGAAATATTATATTAAATTTGAGCTGAAAATGTCGCCTTTTTTTATCAGCTTAATGATTGGATTGAAAAGAAGATACATATTTTCAAATTTTAAATTTCTTTTCAAAAATGGCATTCTAGCCACTGGCTAAGCTCAAGGGCTTTGAATCGCCCTCCCTTCCTCCCTTGCGGATCAACACAATAATATTTCAGGCAGAGCGAGACACAAAAGGCATTAAAACCACGGAGCTATTAAATATTCCCACTGCAGAGAGAGAGAAAATGCCGTTTAAATAATTAAGCAAGACGGACGGCCACGCATGCATGCAGCGTAAACACTCATTTTTCTTGGCAGGGAGGAAAGACGTAGCAGAGCTGCTCTGTGAGAGAAGCCGAGTTATAAATGGCGTAACTGGCAGCAGCAATTAGTGTAATGATAGCAGGTGCTACTAAATGTAAGGACAGAGTCTCTGACATCCCTCATGTGCTTCAAATTACTGCGTGTAAACAGTAATATACCTAAGTGCTCGCAATTACATCAAAATAATACACGCGCGGGGAGCGATGGCGGCGCGCATCCCTGCAAACACACACACAACACCCTTGGCATAACAAAAAGCAGCGGCCCAGAGCAAAAACGACGACGACAACGAGCAGCTGCTAATTCTTTGTTGTGCGTCTTTAATATTAACACAAAGCGACAGTCATTAGAAATATTGCAATTTCGTCAACACCTTCGTTGGCCATACACAGTTATGATTATTTTTAGGGTCAACTTGAAAGTATGGTCAACGTCAACATTAATAAAATTTTGAATTACACAAATTTAAATTCAAAATTTGGCCTGTTTTTTTTTTATTGAAAAAAATATGTATTTCTTAACAAACATTTAGATTTAAAAATTTAGGGATGGAATAATTTAATTTTGATTTGATATACAATAAAAATTTTCACTTTCATTTGGTGTATAAGTTTTATTTGTGAAAAATTATTAATTTATGTTCATGATTCACAACTTTGTATGTATCAGAAAAATGATTGGCTAGTGAAGCAAAATAAACTCGAGCTAGACTAGAAAATTCCAAAAAGTTTACAATGGTTGCCAAAAATTTCATACATATCTATTTAATACATTTTTCACCAAATTTTTTAAGAATAAATAGTGATTAATTTAATTGCACAAGCATAATTCCAATAATTGGTAATAATAATAAGTTCGAACAAACTTTAAAATAAAAATCGTTAATTTTTTATTTTAGCTGGTATTTTACGAAGCGTACCACGCAAAATACAGCTCATTTCCTCCCACTTCCTAAATCTTGAGAGCGACTCCAGATTTTTTAATCAATTTAATTACCATAATTACCCTCGCGGCTCAGCCGAGCCGCCTTTCCGCAGAGGAAATAAAGAACTCTTGACTTGTCTTAAAACGCAGCCAGTGAAGGAGAAATAAGATTTTGCACCCCGCACTTAATTTCCTTAATTATAAATCTAGTGACAAAGATTAAGAACAGATAAGCAGGCCGTTATTTCAAGCTCTTCGCTTTTCTGTGTAATTAAATTTTACGCACTAATGGGCGCGAGAAATAAATTTAACTCAAATTGTAACGGACTTTGATTATATTTATTTTTCTGCAAGAAGCTAATTCAAAAATCACCAAAAATATATTTTGATCGCATATTTCAATGAAATAAACAAAATTATAACTAAAACTATAAATATTTAATCCGAGTCGCTGCTGGACGAGCTGCTGCTGCTGGACGAAGAGCCGGACTTCTTATGTCCGTGCTTCTTGTCTTTCTTGTGCTTCTTGTGTCCATGCACGTGACCCGGCCCGTGAACGTGTCCATGTCCATGCTTGTGGTGTTTCTTCAGCTCCTTGACTTGCTTCTTGAATTTCTTGCAAGTTTTGGTCGTTCCTCCGCAGTGGGCACAAACAGCCCCAATCACAGCCCCCACTCCTACGGCCGTCCCAATGGCCGCTCCATGAGAGTGTCCATGCGAGTGTCCGTGGTGGCTGTCGTGATGGTGTCCGTGGCTATGCGAGTGTCCGTGGACTGAAGTTGCGGCGAAAGCTCCGTGCTGCCCTGCAACGGCGACCTGAGGAATACCTGCAATTTAAAGTTAATTTTTATTTGTTATGTTATAAAGTTGCAAAAAAAAATCAGTTTTTCTTTAATTATTTTTTTACGATTCATTAAAATTTGCTTAAAAAAAGTTAGTAAAATATTTAGATATTTTAGATAGATTTTTTAATATATTTTACTTGGTTATATTATAAGTGCGGAGTTATCTGCCATTGCTTATGAGAGTCTGGCGTGATGACAAGACTGCCAAGCGCACCAGAGCAACTCACATTTTGTTACCGTGTGAATTTTATGTGTTTTAACAAAACATTTAAATATAATTAAAATAATAAGAAGAAACATAATTATTAAATTTTGTAAATAAGTCTAATCAAGGTTCATTTTTGTTTCCTGTCAAATTATTAAACAAGACAACTACTTTTTTTTAAATTTATTTCCCACTGACTATAATTGAGAACTTTAGTTAAGGGCTTTAATGGACTTTTGTTCACATACCTGTAGGGTAGGGTGCGCCGATCGGATGCCCAGGGACAGCTGTGAATCCCACGGGCGCCGATGGCATTTGATGGACAACTGGAGGCACCATCGGCGGGTGGCCAGGTGCAGGGAAACGAGTTCCGTCAGGTCGCAGGTCCATTTTGGCGTAAAATGTGTGGAATTCGTCTGTTGCACCGCCTTTGTTTTATTTGGCCAGCGACAAGGAAAGCTGCCGAGGTCGCTTATCGCGTAAGCCACCGCTGTTTTGAGGTGTGGGTATACCAGAATAAGTACAGTAAGATAAGTGACGCGAGGTTGGAGTCATCGCGGTGATGACGCAATCACCGTTATCAAGAGTGGGGACCGTGCAGCAGCGCGATTGAATTGCAACACTAAAAAGAATTTTTGTGAAGTACAAAAGAAGTGTCCAAGGGAAACATATATGTATGAACAATCATAATGAGATAGATTAAATAATTTTAATTAATTTTATCTTTTAAAAGAAAAGTATAAAATTTTAGTTAAATAATGTGTATATGGGCAGCATAAATAATTTTTATAATAATATCATTTTAACACAATATTTTAATAAAAAAATTTTAATTCGGTTAATTTTATTTAGTAAAATATTAACTCAGTAAAGGTTTTAACATATTTATTTATCTATTTCTGTAATTTAATTTAAATGTATAAAAAAATTCTTGTAATTCATCTTAATACAAATAGATGTACAAAATCAACAAAGCATGCATTTCTAAGGTGGAAAACTATTGAAATTACAGAAACAAAATAAATTTACCAAAACATGAGCATTTTGTAGGATAAAAAAAAGATATCCTGGATTTCACCGTTCACATTTTTTTACCTTTGGAAATTTTCTTTAATATTTTTAATTTGTTAAATTATTTTTAATAGCTAAAATTTTGGCTACCATTTAAATAATCGTAAATTCACAGAACAAAACTAAAGATAAAAAATAATCAAGGTGGTTCCAAAAGATTAAGCTGGCCCAAACTATCTCAAGTATACATTTTTAACGGCCTCTGCTAACTCAGGATTTTGGATCGCCCTCTAAAATAATATAATTTTTTGGAGTACAATGTACAATCATTCTTGAATTGGTCTTTAATTTTGTGAGTATATATTTTTACTTTTACTAATAAAGTGGTCTTGAGTAGATTTCAATTTACATATTTCGATTAACTTATTTGTAAAGAAATCGCGAATATCATCCAATTTTTTCATATATTTTTTGTTCTATTGATATTAAGAGATGAAAAAGCAATTAAATGCGAAACTAATAACAGGGCTGATTTAAAAACGTGGAAGTAGCATAAAAGGTAGTTGAATGCCATTAAGATTTTGGATAACCATTAAAAAAAAACACATAATTATTAATTTTTTTGTCAGCGAGCGGAGTCTTTATTAAAAAAGAAACAATTTTCACGTATAAATATTAATGAAACCCATCATGGTTTTCAGTATATAATTTACATTCAACTGTAATTATAGGGAGATTAAATATTCCATTTAAAATCCTGGTAATTAGTTTTCATATAAAAACATAAAACATTGTATAAAAATTATAATTCCACAAAAATCTCTGAATTATTTCTTTTCATCATCACTTTCAGAGGATGAGCTACTTCCTGAAGAACCGGGCTTCTTGATTGTGGACTTAATCCTGTCGAAACCTGCTCCAACATTCTGCCCGACAACCTCCCTTTTCTTTTTCTTCTTGCCCTCGGAGACGATCTCCTTCTTCACCTCAGCCTCCAGTTTTTCCTGCTTCAGCAATTGCTCGCCCGTTATCCCTGTTCCGCACCAATTTTCCAATTTCCGCATCTCCTGACGTTCGCCCCCTGAGCTCGAGACGAAATGCTCTTCCCTGGTGGTGCTGGACGAGGAGGACTTGCTGGAGCTGCTTGAGGTCAAGGTGACCACCCTTTGCGTCATTTTGACTCCGGAAGTGGTGCTGCTGCTCTGGAAACTGGACTCGACCTTCCGGCCGAGGAACTGGGAGCTGCCGGAAGAACTGGAGAAACTTTTGAATTCCTGGTGAGACGCGGAGGACGAAGAAAAACTTTTGCTCCCTTCCTGGGTACTCAGGTTCTTGAAGGCGTCGCTCAGTTGGACCTGCGTGGTTTTCTCTTTTGGCTTTTTTTCCTCATCACTGCTACTGCTGCTACTTCCGGAGTCTCTCCTCGCCCTGGTGGTTTTCGATTCGCTCACTTTCGTCACTACTGGTGCGTGTTCCGGGTGTCGCAATTCCATTTTGTCAGACAATTTTATAAACAAAGTTTGGTTCACTTTGGGTTTTTAGTGCTTTACCTGTACTCTGATAAAGCCAAAGCAGCAATGTTATCGCAACGGGCGTTGGACATTTCACAAGTTGACATTTTATTATCTTTTAAGCAGATTCAGCGCGGTAACATATCGATATCAGAACTAGTTTTTTTTTTTTTAGATAACAACCTATTCAATTTAAATAGTTTCTACCATACAGTATATTATAGATTTATAACATATGTATATTTTTAAAAATTTTACTATGCAAATAAAAACTTAATATTTAATAATTAATAATGTTTTACAAAATAATATCATTTTTTCTAAATTTAAAACAAAATTTAAGTATTCTTTTTACGTTTTTACGACCTTTATATTATAATTATGATTTTAAATAATAAAATCAATCCTAAATTAAAAGAATTAATTTAAAAAAAATATATATAAATATTCACAGAATGAACAATGAAAAATCAAATTAATATCCATTAACGAGCAATTGTTATCTCGTTTCTTCATCTGCTCCGTTTCATTTTACTTTTCATGAAGTTCATTTAAATAAAAAGAATTGGGAGATATTCATTCACAAGCTAAATTAGCACCAACAATTTCAATAAGCTGCCCTTGTTCATGAACCCAATGAAAAAATTCCTTTACAACTAACTGACAATAAGCGTATAAATATCCCCCATTACATTTGAGTGAGAAAAATGAACCAATAATTTATTATTTCCATTTGAAATTCCATAATATGCATTTTATAATTAATTTTTCATCGGATTTTTGCTTTTTGTATATAAATTTAAAATATTTTATTAACGATTTGCTGATTTTGATAACATTAAAATATTTTAATATTTCAAAAAGACATCATTACCTCCAAAAAAGTTTCAAATATAATACTTTGATAAATAAATGTAGAAATTGAAGTCAAAATTGAATGCGATATTCACAAATAATATTGCACGTTTTTGAGAAACGGAATATAACTTTTTTGCGGCCAAATTTATATCCTACGTACTCTTAAATAAGGCATTTTTATGCTTTTCTTGGATTATTTATCCTCAAAATCTCATTTTTCAAATGTATGCAACTGATTGTCAGCATCAGGTGCCCCCTAAAGATGCGTCTGCCGGAAAATTTGCCTTGCCGAGCTCCTTTGCATAATGTTTTCCGTCAAGTGGCATTATTTTAATGCGCGCCAGCCGTCGCTAATAGATACGCCGCTGCAATAATAAGAGAGAGGCAGGCAGTGTTTTAAGAAGTCATTTGCATAGCAGCTTCTTATCAGCATTGAAACCAAACTTTTTAACTCAAATGTTTTCGCAGCGCGAGACGAGAGAGAGAGAGAGGAAAGTTTTGCATTGCTGTTCATGGCGAGGCACCATCTGCGCGCAATCCAGCATCCTGCCCGTGTCTTTAACTCGGAAAGTACACACGGCCGCTTAAACGGTGCCACCCCCTTCTTAAACATACACAACAGTCTCGGCAGTTAAAGCTACCGACTTTATGGAAAACTTGTTTCAGCTCGGTAATTTATTCTGAAAAGATTTTCTTGCGCGCGCTCAGAGAGCGAATAAAGAGAGCGGGATCTCAAAACGCTCCTCTCCAAATTATACCAAGCTTTGTTTACACGGCGCCTCGCTCGGCGAGAATAATTTAAATTACAAAAATATGTTCCTTCCACCTTGAACAATTGAGCCATTCAGCAAATAATTGCTTAGCCTTTCGCACAAGTGTCTCAAAACCTCATCCAAAATCGACAGCTGACTTGATCATCAATTTTTGCAGATGCAAATATTGGATTTAACGTTCAGAATTACATGATATTTCCACCACACGCACAACATATTGGAACAAAGTAACGAAAATAATGTAAAAATGTTAGCAAAACATTTGGTCAGCAATTAAATCTTTATCTTCTTTATTCTCTCATAGAACGAAAAATTCATAAATAAGGTAACCGGTACATAATTGTTTAACTGCTCTATTGTCAGGTACTTAATTAAAGTACATTATCGTCATTGAAATTGCAAATTTGTGTCCAAAATTTGAATTCCAAATTCAATCAATATACTCACTGATTTTGAAATTAAAAAAAAGAAATCATGAAACTATCAAATCACAAGAACAATCAAAAAATGTTCATTGCATATAACGCTTTGAAACTATGGGCTTAAGCTAATAAAACAAATAAACTGGTATTAGATCGCTCAGAATGATTGTGCTTTAACCCAACATGTTTACTGAGAGTGCGAAATTAATAATAAAAAAAATTAGGCAGAAATTTATAAAAAAAGGAAGAACTGCATCAACAAAGGTAAAGTAATTTTTTATTTTGTAATTTACGTTGCCCCATTTGTTATTATAAATAATGTATCTAAAATTTTTGATTATTTGACCAAATGTTTCATCACACTCTATATTATGCAATTTTGGAATTTATTAAATTGTTCTTGGGGCCGTTCACGAATGATTTAAGATAAATTGGACAGATTTTTTTTGTTAAGAGCACCACTCTGATTTTTAGATATGTTGTTAGGGTTGATGAGAAACTACTTTGACCAAATTTTTAGACCAAAATATTTATTACTTTTTGAAATATTCGGGTTTTTTGAAAAACTCAAAAATGCTTATATCTTTGCTCCTCTTAGTTTTAGAGCAATTTGGTTTTCATTCCAGTAGGTAACTTTTTATTCTGAACAATTTTGCTGTTGACCAAATTGCCCTAGGTCAAAGGTCAAGGTCATTAAAATGCATTTTTAGTTTTTGAGGTCATTTTTCTCAAAGAAGCGTATTTTTGATATTTTTTTAGCAAATGCAAAAAATGTAGCCCGTGAAATTCTACATCTGGTCCAAAATATTTGCGATGGCGTATATCTTAGTTTTTTAGTTATTTTAATTTAAAATTAAAAAGATGCGTTTTTCCGATATGCGGTATTTTGACATTTTTCTGTTATATTATTTCTAAGCAGCCTAGAGCAATGCGGTTTTCACTGCTAGACCTATTTTTTAATTTTGAACAACTTTTCCGTTGACAAAAAATACCTAGGTCAAAGGTCAAGGTCAGTAAAATGCATTTTTAATTTTCTAGGTCAATTTTCTCAAAGAAGCGTATCTCAGATTTTTTCGGCAATATAAAAAAAAATGTTGCCCATGAAATTCTACATCTGGTTGGAAAAATTCAGAATGGCGTTATTTTTAGTTTAAAAGATATTTTAATAAATATTTAAAAAGTTCGTTTCCGTATATAATATTCTGACCCTTTTTGCCTTTTTTTTTATTCTTATTGAAATATCTTTAAATCTAAAAATAATGCCATTCTGAATTTTTCCAACCAGGTGTAGAATTTCATGGGCAACATTTTTTTCTATATTGCCGAAAAAATCTGAGATACGCTTCTTTGAGAAAATTGACCTAGAAAATTAAAAATGCATTTTACTGACCTTGACCTTTGACCTAGGTATTTTTTGTCAACGGAAAAGTTGTTCAAAATTAAAAAATAGGTCTAGCAGTGAAAACCGCATTGCTCTAGGCTGCTTAGAAATAATATAACAGAAAAATGTCAAAATACCGCATATCGGAAAAACGCATCTTTTTAATTTTAAATTAAAATAACTAAAAAACTAAGATATACGCCATCGCAAATATTTTGGACCAGATGTAGAATTTCACGGGCTACATTTTTTGCATTTGCTAAAAAAATATCAAAAATACGCTTCTTTGAGAAAAATGACCTCAAAAACTAAAAATGCATTTTAATGACCTTGACCTTTGACCTAGGGCAATTTGGTCAACAGCAAAATTGTTCAGAATAAAAAGTTACCTACTGGAATGAAAACCAAATTGCTCTAAAACTAAGAGGAGCAAAGATATAAGCATTTTTGAGTTTTTCAAAAAACCCGAATATTTCAAAAAGTAATAAATATTTTGGTCTAAAAATTTGGTCAAAGTAGTTTCTCATCAACCCTAACAACATATCTAAAAATCAGAGTGGTGCTCGTAACAAAAAAAATCTGTCCAATTTATCTTAAATCATTCGTGAACGGTCCCTCTTAAGAAATTAAATTTTCTCGAGATAATAATTTCATTTCCAAAAAAAAAATTTTTGAAAAATACATTTAAAATTTTTTTAATAACCTTTTAATTTAAGGTAACTTAATCTTAATTTATTAAAATTATAGTAAACATTTTATTCTGCTTACTGGTATAACGAGAAAAATTTCTGAATGCCACTCTTCTGCTTCTATCAGGAATTTTTGAAGAAGCTTTGGAATTGCTATAGAAGCTAAGCAACTTGCAGCAGGAATTTGCACTACTTGCTATCTAACGAAGGTACCCCAGTTTCTCCAATTTGTACAACTAGCCCAACTATTTATTCAGATCATGTGATGCTAGAAAATAATGTTAAACAATTAATTTTTCAATGTTAAGTCATAAATCTAAAAATTCTAATCTGTATTCTTTACTCCACCTTATTTTGTAACATTGTTGCTTGAAATTGTAATCGTTACTGAAACTTTTGAATATAAGAAAAGTTGGAAAATGTCATCCAGGAATCGCACTTTCCTCGAGTGCTGTGCAGGTTGCATAATTAATGCATCCTTCAGGGGACAGACTGCAGATGGGGCGCGACCGGCTTGCGCTCTCTTTCACTGGTGCGCCTGAACTTCCGCATCCCCTAGGAGTTTCAATGAATATTATTAAACGCACCCCGCCGCTTTTTCATCTTTGCAAAGCGAGTGTAAAAGATTTGTTACCTAATTAGCGAGGAACTAAATGCCCTGAAGGACCTTTTCCAAAAGCAATTAAAGGAAACGCGTAATTTATGCAAATGAGATTCGCGTGGTAACAAATTGGGACGAAATAAACGGCTGGTTTACAAATTTCAGCACAAGAATTCGGTATATAATCAATGGAGTGAATCAAAGATTTGCTCTCAGGCATAACTTGTAAATTTTATTTACAAGCAGCGAGAGAGCGAG